GCTCCATCCATGTTCCTGCAAAAGACATGATTTTGTTCTTTTTTATGGCTGCATAGTGTTCCATGGTATATATGTACCACATTTTCTTTATCCAATCTGTCATTGATGGGCATTTAGATTGATTCCATGTTTTTGCTATTGTGAATAGTGCTGCAATGAATGTTTGCATGCATGTATCTTTATGGTAGAAAGATTTATATTCCTCTGGGTATATACCCAGTAATGGCATTGCTGGGTGTAGTGGTAGTTCAGCTTTTAGCTCTATGTGGAATCATCGTAGTGCTTTCCACAATGGTTGAACTAATTTACACTCCCACCAACAGTGTATAAGTGTTCCCTTTTCTCCACAACCTCAAAAATAGCAATCGGTTATTTTTTAACTTTTTAATAATAGCCATTCTGATTGGTGTGAGATGTTATCTCATTGTGGTTTTCATTTGCATTTCTCTAATGATCAGTGATATCGAGCTTTTTTTCATATGCTTGTTGGCTGCATGGATATCTTCCTATGAGAAATGTCTCTTCATTTATTTCAATGGGACCGTTTGCTTTTCTCTTGTAAATTTGTTAATGTTCCTTATAGATGCTGGATATTAGACCTTTGTCAGATGAGTAGTTTGCAAATATTTTCTCCCATTCTATAGTTTGTCTGGTTACTCTGTTGAAAGTTTCTTTTGCTGTGCAGATGCTGTTAAGTTTAATTAGATCTCACTTGTCAATTTTTGCTTTTTTGTGATTGCTTTTAGTGTGTTTGTCATGAAATATTTGCCCATTGCTGTGTCCAGGATGGTATTGTCTAGGTTGTCTGCCAGGGTTTTTATAGTTTTGGGTTTTACATTTAAGGCTTTAATCCATCTTAAGTTGATTTTTGTGTATGGTATGAGGAAGGGGCCCATTCTTCACTCTTCTGCATATGGCTAAACAGTTATCCCAGCACCATTTACTGAATAGGGAGTCTTTTCCCCATTGCTTGTTTTTGTCAGCTTTATCAAAGATCAGATGGTCGTGGATGTGTGACCTTATTTCTGGGCTCTCTATTCTGTTCTATTGGTCTATGTGCCTGTTTTTGTACCAGTACCACGCTGTTTCAGTTACTGTAGCTTTGCAGTATAGTTTGAAGTCAGGTAACACGCATATCAAACTCTTAATCAGTTTTAATGACAATCAACTTTGGTTTAATATGTCTGTGCCACTGATAATGCCATTCAATTTAGACATCTGTCTCAGATGTAAGTACCTAATCCCATTCCTAAAGATGAAATCAGTAATACAAAGTGACCCTTGGTTTGCAGTTACTTAAGTTAGAGGTAAATATTTTAAGTTTTTTCACAGGAAATCTCCCAAACTGTTTTGCTAATTAACAAAAAATAAATCCTTCAGCAAGTGACCCAAATGCAGATGATAAACTCAGTTTAGTTTGCTCTGGAAATAATTATGCATTCAGTTTGGTATTAATTCATTTTAATCAATTCTTGAACCTGAAAACCAAAACATTTTCCCTTTGAGATTTCAAAATTCCTCAGTAGTTGTTACCCTATAGCTCTTCAAGACAATTTGCGAAGTATGCAGGAAAATGCACCAAATGTGAAATTAGCTATTACGTTAAGAATGATGCACCAGTGGAACTCAAAATGACACTGACAAACACAGTGTCTTTTGGGATATCTATTTCAGTGAGTCTCTTTGCGGATGCAACAGAGATTTCTGGTGACCAAATGTCTACCTAGTTCACAAATCTAGACTCATTTCCATTCAACATAGAGCTATATTTTAGTAGGTTCCAATGAAACCAAGATGAGAGTCATCTCCATCTGCCTTTGAGGGAAGGAAACATTCTAACAAGAGAATGCTGCTTTCTCACACTGAGCATCCTAAGTCATCTCCCCGCTGAACTACTTCTCAGTATCTTCAAGGATTCCATCAAAACCTTGCCATACATTTCATTTTTTATTAGTATGATATGATCATATAAAGCATATAAATGCTGAATTTAGGGCATGGAGTGAATTTTCATTTTAAGATTAAAAAGTACTTTTCAGAGTTAAATTAAATCTAAATCATGTTTTAATTCCAAATATAATGAATTATATTTCGATATCTAAAATTTCATGGTGACTGCAAATTGAGAAATTTGCAACATACTAAATTTAAGCTTTGAAAAGTTTTAATTTTATTCAGAAATTTGGAAGTTTTCTGATTTGGCTGCTGCTAAATATTATTCTCTCTACTCATGACTTCTTAATATAACTATTCCACTGAGCATCTATTAAAAACATCGTGCTCAGTAAACAGATTATGTTACATAGTAAAAACCACATTTTAACAGTATAGTATTCAATAGTGATTTATAGGATGGATGATACTGCAAGATCTCCTGGCAAAACCTTACTCATTTGATAATAGAGCAGAAATGAATTAAGGCTCAGTGTCTTTTATTTAACATACACATTCTAATTTTGGTTGCTTTTCAAAAAATATATAGTAAAATAAACATGGCCAGCAGCGTGTTGCCAGTTATTGGTTTGTTGTAACTAACACAAATTAATAAATATAAATGATCTGTAGTTAAAATATTAACTTTTTTGCAAATATATATATATGTGTGTATATATATATGTGTGTGTGTGTGTGTGTGTGTGTGTATATATATATATATATTTTTTTTTTTGAGATCAGTCTCACTCTGTTGCCCAGGCTGGAGTGCAGTGGTGATCTTGGCTCACTGCAACTTCCACCTCCCGGGTTCAAGCGACTCTCGTGCCTCAGCCTCCCGAGTAGCTGGGATTACAGGCATATGCCACCATGCCCAACTAATTTTTGTATTTTTGTAGAGACAGGGTTTCACCATGTTGGTCAGGCTGGTCTCGAAATCCTGGCCTCAAGTGATCCGCCTGCCTCAGCCTTCCAAAGTGCTGGGATTACAGGTGTGCACCACAGTGCTCAGCCTGCAAATAGATATTTTTAAAGGTTATATGTCCGTGTTTGGCTTAAGTCTAGCATACTATATATTAGTCATTTGTGTATATGCTATTAATTTTTCTTTCATTCTTATTATTGATATATATGTCAATGTACACTTATCTATAAACATCAATATATTTATGTCTATTCATTTGTCTATGTGTCTGTGAAACCATTTGAAGATATCTTTGATGTATAGTGGCCAAAGTAAATTTAATAAATTAATAATTCATTAAATTTAATATGCTTATTAAATTTAATTAAGAACACCTCTAAATTTCTATCATTTCATGGATAGATTTTATGAATGTAAACTAGAGGTAAGAATATGCTAAAATTATCATAATCTACCATTTTGAGATGATAGTTACTAAGGTGATAGTAAAATTATGCAGTTTATCAGATTGGAACACATGAGTTAACTGAAAGTAAAACACAAAAGATATTTAGCAGTTGAAACACATATGATTTTTAGTATTTTAAAATAATAACTAGAAAGTTATTCTTTCTTTTGGCTTTTAATTTTTACTTCACTGAGACACTGATTTTATTCCAGGCCTTTCTTATCGACTGCTGACCTTTTCCTGTCATTTGATGTTAAAGATGATACAATGAATGCATCATCAATGTAACATGGCCTGAAACAGATCAGTAATTGAATGTGATCATTAGAAATAGATCCAATTTTAAACTTAGCAGAGACTACAGAAGTCTTATTTATAAGCTTCTTTTATTACATTTCTTTTTTCTTTGTATATTTATGGTCCATTTGCTAATACACTATTAGGAATCAAATCACTGAAGATTTTAGCATTTTATTATCACCAAAACCTTTGTTTTAGTAAAACACAACAACATAGGCTTCTTGATTGTGAAAAGCTGTTATCAGATCAAGTCGTTTTTATGCCTCAGATCTTAAGGCACACTAATTCTTGAGACCATCTCTAAGGTCTTCTGTAAAAGGTGCTGTCTTATTGAGAAGGAAGAAATGGCCAAAATGTCTGTATCTGAAGTTTTCTGTGTTATCTTAAATATCCCACATAGAGGATGGACAGGTAAATTAGACATATGAAACAAGACATATTTGGTATATTCAACCTATATTTATTATGAATTTTTCATGTAGTAATATGATGATATAATATGAAATAATTTAAGATGCTTATTAAGACTGAAAGAGAAATCAGTAGTAGGCTATGATTTGTTTCTTTTTTTGGTGGTATAACAGTTAGCATTATTATAAAATCTAGAGGTTCTTTTTAGATGCTTCTGCTTCTCACAGGGAAGCAACAATATTAATGTTCTTGTTTAGCTTAGTATGCTATATGTAATTTACATGTGATTTTCAGACTTGTAATTACAAAAAGAACAATCTACTACAAAAAAAGTGCTAAGGAGTCTTTCATGCTCAGCATCCCAAAAGGCAAAACCCAGGAAATATTACCAATACATCATGAGCCTCTTTGGTTTTCTTCATTTGGAGTGATGAAGTCAATCATTTGATTGAATTGACACAACTGTCCTTCAACTGTATAATCTGCTTCAAGAAACTATGTTGCTTAATATAACAACATGCCAACATTGAAAACACTGAAAAATTAGTTTTTGTTTCCTTTTTTTATTTCATGTTTTTGGTTTGTGGGCCATGCAATAGTATTCAATGTTCTCCAACATAAGATATTGATTTCTTCACAATTCCTTCCTTTCTCAAATTTAGCTGTACATTGAGATCATCTGGAAAACTTTAAAACCTACTGATATTTGAGCACTACCCCAAGAAATTCTGATGTAATGTGGATGAAAACCTGGGCACTGGGTCTCATAATATCTCCCCCAGGTGATTATAATGAGCAGCAGACTTGGCATCCACTGGTGTATGTAAATTTGATATTCTCATGACTACTCATTGCTGGATTGACACCCAAGTTTTGCAACCTCCCATTTACTGAAGAGGTGGACTCCATGTCTCCCTCTCTCTCTTCTCTTAGAATAGATACTTCTGTCAAAGCTTGAATGTGACTTAGAAAACAAAAGAGCAATTACCCTTACACATTTATTCTACAGTTTTTGCACCCTTTATACATGTTAAAGGCAATGACAATAACTTTTAGCAGTGTTTATTTTTGTTAAAAGAAACCAGTTGAATTAAAGGTCAAAACACCTTCTGATTGCACAGATTAAACAAGAAAGTATTACGTGTTTCAACTTTACAAAGCATCTTATTGATTTAAAAAGATCCATACTATTGATAAAGTTCACCATGAACATATATGTAATAAGGAGAGTAAAATAATCATTTTACATATCTACAACATGTATTTTCATATTTCAAGGTCAACCACAAGTCATATAGGAAAATATTTAGGTCCATGAAAAAGTTCCAAAACATTAAAAAATTAACATTTTGAAAAAAAAAATCACATGTGAAAGCTCATTAAATAATAACATTGACAAATAAATAGTTAATCAGCTTTACTTATTAGCCACTGCCATGCATTTCTGGCATTCCATTCCAAGCGAGGGTCAGCATGCAGGGTATAATTTCATACTATGCAACTGTAAAGAGCTACAGGGCTTATTTTTGAAGTGAAATGTCACAAGGTCTTTCATTCTCTTTCAAAGGAAGATCACTCATGGCTGCTAAACTGTTCCCATGAAGAGTACCAAAAAAGCACCTTTCTGAAATGTTACTGCGAAGATTCATGACAACAATTTTTTTTTAACCTTTCTGTTTTGAAGGGGTTTTGTTTAGGATATGGGATGGGCCAGTAGCTGGAGGGTATCTGAGAAGCCCTTTTCTGTTTTAAAATATAATGATTCACTGATGTATATAGTATCAACAGTCTTTTAAGAACAATGAGGAATTAAAACTACAGGATACGTGGAATTTAAATGCAAATTGCATTCATGGATATACCTACATCTTGAAAAACTTGAAAAGGAAAATCTATTCCCAAAGAAGGTCCTGATACTTAAGACAGCTTGCTGGGTTTGATCAAAGCAGAAAGCATATACTTTCAAGTGAGAAAATAGCAATGGCAGGCTTGAGTTTTCCAAGCAATCAAATCTGTAAAGCAGATGGTTACTAGTAAGTCTAGTTATGGGAGTCTGAGTTCTAACTCATGCTGTGCTTGCTGGATTTGCTGGCTCTTTTCCGCTCTCTGTGATGCTGGACGGGCTTGGCAGGTGACATGCTCTCAAAGTTGTGACTGGACTCGTTGTGCTGCCGGGTGTACCTCTTGCACTTGCAGGCAGTGACTACTGTGATTTTGTAGGTGCGTGTGCTGCCATCTTGGCACTGCAGCTGGATTCTCTGGGTACGGGTTTTGTCATTGACACACCGCCACTCCTGGGAGCTCCTCCTGCTCCAGTACTTTGTTCCATAGCCTCCTCCAATCCAGTTAGGGAGCACTGGCAGGGGCAAGCACTCACCAGCACACACCAGCTCCTTCAGAGGGCTGATGCTAGTGCACTGGCCATCAGAGATGTATTTAGTGGAACGCAGTTCCCGGCAACCCACTTGAACCCGAGCTGGAGGAAACAAAAAAGAATGTGCATCAGAGACAAAAATGCAAACGAAGACCTTTTAAAAAGTGCTCCGCAATGACAAAAATAATAGCCAAATGATAGAAAATTGCCAAATAGAAAGTGAGCACCTACTTTATTTTCACAATGAAAACAATCTGCCTAGATAGGATAGAGACACTTTCATGAAAATCATCAGTTTACATGGCTATAACTTTTTTGGGAAAAAAAATGTAGGCCCGATTTTTTTAATATATATCATTAGCTGATTGCTTATTAGAGTGTTTGAAAATCCAATTTTCTTAGTCTCACTCTCCAATAAGGAGTTAGCAGCTCTTCCATTTACGTGTAAATATTTGTTATTCAATGAGTTAAAAGAGTATACTTTATTATTCTCTTTCTCAAGGGTCATATTGGTTAATGTCTGCAAATGCTTTCAATTAGGCTTTTAAAAAATCTGTTGAAAAGAATGTGGTAGGGCCATTGAAATATTGTGTATAATGCATATGCTCTCAGTAATATTTTATTTCAATTTTAGACTTTCGCTGCAGAGACTCATACATGCATATGTGTACAACATCTGACATTTTGCATATCAAACTTAATAACTATGTTTTAAACATAAATTCCCAAACTATCTTTTAAAAAATACAAACAGTAAGATGTTTGAAATGCAAAATGCCACTACAACTCAAGATTCGAAGAATATAAAAGTCCCTAAATCAGGAACGTATGGTTGCCATAACAACTTGGCTACATTTCCATGAATTTTATGGCAGAAAAATGCCTAACATGTCTGATTTACAACTGTAAAAGGAACCACGGTGTTCATTTCCTGAATATTGGTCATGGCAAACTTTTTGTTTTAGTCATTTGGATTTGATAGGTATGTTCTCTAATTGGCTGTTTCTTGTTACATGCCTTATGTAATTAAAGCAAAAATTAATCTTTAAATATTTTAAGTTTTCCTTACCCTTGCTTTGTTATCTAAACTTGAGGAGAATTGCCTATAACAAGCTTGAAAAGAAATCAAGGCTTGCCAACCAGGAAAAAAAAAAGGATGTTTAAAAGTGCAGGCTGCTGACATTTTACAAATAGAAATGATAAGGGACACTGAAGTGGTTCTACAAAGAGTACTGAAAGCTAAGTCAAAGTAGAACTGAATCAGGAGTTTCACTTCATCTCTGTATCCTAGTACTTCTGAGGTAAGAGATATAGCTTAAGGGGAACGTGACATTTGCGTAAAAACTTACTTATATACACATGCATGCATAGAAATCTAGAATTGTGGGATTAAAATGTAAAGCGTAAATTGTTTGGTTGGACAGTGTGCTAAGCGTGCCTGATTCTGCCTCCAGCTCACCTTCCTGCAGCTGCCTCAGGAATGCACCTGGAAATAGCCAGAAATAATTTCGACTTGTCAAGCTTTCTGTTCCTGTGTATATACAGATTTAGCATTTTTGCAGTGACAGTTCATTGACAACGAATACCCACCACATTGCTCAGTAATCTAATAATAATCAGATATGTCCTGTGTACTTAAAAGCAACCATCTTCATGAAAGTTAAAACATCTTAGCTTTCTTAGACATTAACAGTCATGTTTGGTTTGACTTTTCAAAGGTCAAAACTACTTTTCATAGTTGAATGGAGTGAAGAAGGAGAGGCAAAAGATTTGTGTAAGATTTCCTGTTCACTGTTTCTCTTTCTTTCTCTCTCTCTCTCTCTCTTAAAACCTGATTATTAGCATGTGGCCTCTTCTAAAGGAAAAGATGGAAATAAAAGTTAGGGGAAATTTGAATCCCCCTAACCAGTGGTCAATTAGTGTGTCAACTAAGCTGTTGTTTTAAATCTCTTAAGTTACAAAAAAGTCCCCAGTCTGTCACAGAAATATACAATTATCTAAATTTTGAATGGGACAACAAGGAATTAGTTTAGAAAAATATGATTCTCCAGAATTTTTAGTTTATCCCTCTTTTATATTGAGCTTCATCAAAACTTTTGACTATCTCACTAGGCATATTTTAGAAATCCAATGTAAACAAATTTTTTCTCCTGGAAGCTTCCTTTTTTCCTTTGTGATTCCCTATATGTATTTGTGGATGGTAACTAATAATACATGTTAGCTACCTTTATACACTTTACCAAAATTGCATACGCCCTGAAATAAATTGACAAAACAACCAGAACTTGAGCTATCTAAAACAATACTTTTTAAAACTCTCATTTTGCATGATTTTGACAGAACCATAGTTTAATTCCTGGAAATGTTTTGTTTGTGGATGTTTGATAAAACTTCAGTCTGTGCTTGCATTATTAAACCACTCTTTTAGTTAGGTTAACTTTAAAATCACTACATAGGGAAGAATGCCAGCCTACGCATGCGGCAGATTACTCCCAAATTGTTTCACAAAATATATATGGTTCAGGTTAGTTACCAATAAAACAATTCTACAGCAATGTGAGCTAATGCTACCAGAAAAGAAAAAAAACAAACAAACCTGTACAAGTAAAACACACTTACTGTTCCGATCCAGTCCAGTGTTACTGAAATGCCTGCCTCCATTTCTGGCTTGATTCATCGTGCTGTTGCTGCTGGGGTGTGCTGGAACAGGTTTAACCACATGTGAATAAAGGATTTCTGTGGCATCATTTTTAAAAGCCAAACAGCTTTTCATTAGGATGCATGCAAGGGGAAGGAGATAGAAATGAATGGCAGGAGGAAGCATGGTGAGTAGAGGATTTGCTTGGCTGAAGAGCTAGTTAATTCCTTTGCCTCTGCTTCTGCACTGTATCTGTGAAATTCCTCCTCAAGCTTCCCTTTATATATCCACAGAGGTTTGGCGTTCATTCAGGTGTAAAGTTGTGTAGAGCTTCAGAGTGAAAACACAGAGAAGGGGTGGGATCCCTACATGACCCTGCAAAAGAATTTTACCAATGGAAAAGAAGACTGCAGAAAAGGAGGAGCTTGGTATACAAATTGCCTGAAATTTCAGAGTTGGACTTCATCACTTGTCTGTGAGCCGACGCAGGCAGGCACATTCTATATCAACGACAGACTCTCCTCTGCCATTTCCTTTCCTGAGTCTAGTTAACATTCGGGTTTAATTTAAACGAAAATACATCGCTGTTCATTTGAAGAGACTGGCTTTCCCACAGTTCTATACTTCCCTCAGATTTTAGAGTATTTGCGTCAGGAAGGGAGTTCTTCCCAGGTAACAGGAGGAATTCGTGTGAGTTTAAATATTGTAGGACTTGCATGAAGCACCTAGTTAGCGAAACATTGCTTTCTCTCAAGAAGCAAACCAATATTTTTTTTTCCTAAAGCAAACCAATATTTTTTTTTTCCACAGAACTAAAACCTGCCCCCTGGACATGCTTAAATAATGCAGCTTTGATCTGCATGAACTACTGTGCTGCTAGGTAAATTATTGCCAGGGGTTCTGAGTGGAGAATAATGAGCATAGTTCTGTCTACATTAAAGTAAGTAATACTCATTTTCATCTTAAAAATGTGTCACAAGCATTAATATCCATAGCGCTGTTTTACATAAAACAAAGCCATTTGTGACAGACTGCTTAGTGAATCCAAAATAATTTTTTCTAGATTTTTTCAGAACACAGAATCTACTCATATTTACTAAATATTTTGCTCATTACTTCCTTTGACTCTGCTGCCGAAGTAAGAAACCTATTTTTCTGAATTACTTTACCTACACCCAGAACACGTGTTCCATTAATTAATTATAGGCCACTGATAATCCCTTTAAAACAGTCATAAAATTCTATTTCATGATGGGACATCTCAATTGGAATAACTATTCTGAATCACCTTTTCAATTATAAATCCATTTTTGTCCTTTGTGTGGCTACCTAAGTCACCTAATTTTGTATCTCTTTTCTGTATAAGCTTTTGTCCATTGTAACTGCTATTCACCTATCTGTCTGTCTATCTATCTGTCTGCCTACCTGAATTTCTCCATAGAAGCACTACTGACATTTTGCAAGAGACAGTTCTTTATTATTGGGGAACTGTCCTGTGTGTTTATCATCTTCCCTGGCTTCTACCAACTAGACGCCAGTAGCACCCCCTAGTTGGTAACAAAAATATCTCCAAACATTACCAGATGACCCCTATGGGGTAAAATCACCCCCAATTTAACCACTAATTATCTATCATCTATCTCACTACAAAAGAAAGTAAAAATAAGAATAAAGGAAAAGTATTATAATACCAATAAATTATAGTTCTTTTTTAGGACAGAAATTGTACTGTAGTTTTGTTTTAAAACAATTACTGCTTCTCTATCAGAGGTATATACTGGAATATCCTTAGATGAAATGATTTTATATACTCTTTTACATTATATGGAATAAGCTAGAATAAGCTTCAAAAACAATATGAGGAGGTTAGAGGTGTGAGTGGCAAAAGATTAATTATAAGTTGATGGTTGTTAGAGCAGAATGGTAAAGTATTATATTCTGTTTATTCTTGTGTATGTTCCACATTGTACATAATAAAAAGTTTAAAAACCAGACTCAGACAATCAATTTAATGGACATATACTCCCTACTAACAATATATCTCTATCCTATGATTGGATAAATAGTCATTTATTCTAACATCCTTCCTGGAAAATCATATGTCAGTTTATTTTGTGCAAATGGAGATTACAGGCATCCTTCTAAAACACTAACTATGAAGAATTTCTGTCCTACTTACCAAGGGACTTGATGTTAATTACACAAAGCATGTTAATATTAATCATTGACCTACAGACCCAATGCCTAAAGGAAATTAAAAGGTCAAAATAATCTAATCTGTTCCTCACTGCTTTTTCTTTTTTGTGTGTCACGAGCAGGGGATATTTTAATTGGAATTTAATTATCAGGTTGGGCTAATGAGGTTGACCAAACTCATGCACAGTTATTAAATCTGCTGCACCTAGTATTTTGTAGGCTGAACCTTAGGATATCACCTCAGGCAGAAGCAAAATTAGAAGAGAAGGCAATGTCGTTGTGCATGTGGACAGGACAAACTCAGAGTTCTTGGGCCCAATTTACCTGACAGACCTGTAGAGAACTACTTTGAGGCTGGGTGCAGTGGCTTCTGCCTGTAATTGCGCACTCTAAGAAGCCAAGACAGGAGGATCGCTTGAGCACAGGAATTCGAGACCAGCCTAGACAACATAGTAAGACCTTGTCTCTGCAAAAATATAACAAAAACTAGCTGAGGATGGTGATTCATGCCTGTAGTCCCAGCTACTCAGGAGGCTGAGGCAAGAGAAACACTTGAGCCTGGGGTGTTGAGGCTGCAGTGAGCTGTGATAGCACTGCAACACTCTAGCCTGGGCAAGAGTGAGACCCTGTCTCAAAATAAATCAATAAATGAAAGAAAACTACTTTGCTAAAACAGAAATAATCATAAGTTTAATACTTAACAGTTATTCTGATCAGTTTAAAAGAGCTCCATTAAAAATAACCACAAACTATTGCTTCTCGGCCTTTTGGCTAAGATCAAGTGAAGGATAACCACAAACTATAATAACCCGAGAAGAATGAATATAGATATTTAATATTGAAATTGATTCTTTCTCATCTTCAGGCATTAGTATGTACCTGTTATTCCCTTTGTTTATAACACTCTTCCCTCACCCTCTTCCTTGACTAATCACCTACTTTTCCTTCCAGTCTCAGTTTAGATGGCACTAGCACTGAGAAAACTCGCCTTGGCCTCTCTTCCCTCTATCTGCTCGTCTCAATCCAGCATACATGTGTCAGAGCAGCTAGTTACCTGATGACTTGGCAAGACCTATGAAAGAAGAACCATTTCTATCTTATGGGTATTGTGGAATAAGTGGTTAAATTAAGTATTTAGGAAATATAGAAAAAATATTCTTTCATTAAAAAGAGATTGGCTAGTATTTGTGGTAGGCAGTCGCTAAGATGGCTCCTAATAATCCCCTTCTCATGATATTCACATCCTTGTAGCAATCCCTTTTTCTTCAGTGTGGAAAGAACTTAGTGATTAACTTCTAATTAGTATAACATACTAACGTGATGAGATGTGACTTCTATGATTAGGTTTTCAAAAAACTGTGACTTCTGTCTTTCTGGCTCCTCTCACTCTCTTGCTTGCTTTGGTGGAAGCCAGCTACCATAATGTGTACTTCCCCATAGGAAGGTCCATGTAACAAGGAACTGATGCCTGAGACTGACAAGGGACTGAATGAGGCCCTCAGCCAAACAGTTGAGAATTCCATCAACAATGACATGGGTGAGCTTAGAAGCAAATCCTCTCACAGGCAGGTGAGGCTGCAGCCCTGGTCTACAACCTGAATGCAAACTTTAGGAGAGACATCAAACCAGAGGCAACCACAAGAACTATGAGATAATAAATGTTTGTTGTTTTAACTAAGTTTTGGGATAATTTGTTACATAACATAATCAGTACAATGTTATTTGTAATTACGTCATTTTGTGAATAATGCTAGGGCCTTGAGAGCATCAGATGTGGAATCATTAGACACGGTGACTGTGCATCTTGCACTCTTTGGGAGAGTGTTAAGACTTATTTTCTGTTCTCAGCTGTGCATCATTGCAAGAAAAATAAAATAAAAATAGAAAATTTTGTTAAAGATTTATTTTATAGGCCTCAGCTGAGCCATCACTGTGGTGGCATTATTAACAATCAAATAATGGTATTAGAATTACTACTAGCAGTTTGATTTGTAAAAGCCGGAAACCAATTATGATTTTCTAAATAGTATCATTTATCATATGACTTGGAAATTGAATTTGAAAATCTGAATTTGGATCTGAAATTGAATCTTAGTTCTACCATTTACGATATGTATGAACTTGGATATACAGTTGACCCTTGAACAACACAGGTTTGAACTGTGAGGATCCACTTATACCTGGATTTTCTTCCACTTCTGCCAACCCTGAAACAGCAAGACCAACCCTTCCTCTTATTCCTACTTCTCAGCCTACTCACTGTGAAGACAGTGGAGATGAAGACATGTCTTATGATGATCCATTTCCACTTAATGAAGAATAAATGTATTTTCTCTTTCTTACAATTTTCTTAATAACATTTTCTTTTCTCTAGCTTACTTTAAGAATAGAGTATATTATATATATATAACTTACAAAATATGTGTTAATCAACTGTTTATGTTATTGGTAAGGCTTCCAGTTGACAGTACACTATTAGTAGTTAAGTTTCGGGGGAGTGAGAAGTTATATGTGAATTCTCAACTGTCCAGGGGTCAGCTCCCTAACTTCTGTGTTGTTCAAGTCAGTTATACTTTCTGAAACTCTCTTAGTCAGTTTCTTCATCTACAAAACATGACCATGCTTACCTACCTCACAGAGGAACAAAAATATATGAAAATGTCTAACACAAAACCTGGCACAGAAGAAATGTGGAAAAAATAGCCATTTAATATGAATCTAGGAGCACGGTTTTATATTATAGCCTTCAAGTTATAAACATGAGTTTGGAAAGACTAGAGAAGTCTGAACAAAAATATGATTACCCTATTTAAGGTAAAGAACAAAAAGCTGAGAGAAGGGAGATTTGTTTACGCCAAAAAGTAAGAGATAATAGATAAATGTCATTAGGCTTAAAAAAATTAGTCTAATTGTTTCTAATTTTTAACAGGAGATGCATCAGAATACAACAGCACCCTTTATCTCCAGGGCATGCGTTCCAACACCTCCAGTGAAAGCCTGAAACCAGTTCTGAACCTGACTGGCATCATTTGGAACACATTTCTGTTCGTCTCTCCCATCCAGAAATGTAATGCCTTTTCCATCTTAACTAAGCATTTATCATGTACTGTGGCTGTCACTTGTGTGGTTTGAAGGGCCACAGCAAAACTAGCAGGAATTTTTTTTCTTCTTTCATGGATTGAAGGTTCTTTCTTACCATAGATCGTAGCAAACTCAGCATACGATTTTTTTTTTCTTTCTCTATTAAGTCAAAAACTTTCACCTTTTCACTTACAGGAAACACTTTACGACTTCTCTTTGGCAAACCCGAATGCCAGCATCACTACTTTTGCGCTTTGGGGCAACTATGAAGTAAAATAAGAGTTCATTGAGCACACAGCACTTTGATGCACAACAGGCGATCTGATAATCTAGATGGTCAGTAAGTGACTAATAGCACTACTCAGAATGGTGTGGAGTTTCAAACTTATCAATTGTTTATTTCTGGAATTTTCCCTGTAGTGAAACCAAGGAAAGCAAAATCACTGATAAAGGGGATTTCCATATATATAAACAAAAAGCATTTACTGAATACAAGAATAAACTATTACTGCTCCTCTCTGGCTTAAAACTATTCTGAGAGTTCCCCTTAAGAGA